GCTCAGCCATTGAGCTACCCGGCCATCCTTATATAGGATCCGAGCCCGTGGCCTTGGTGTTATCAGCACCGCACTCTCCCAAGTGAGCCACAGGCCGGCCCGAGCCTTCATTCTTTAAAGCTTCAGTTTCTTCATATTCAAAATGGGGATAATCCCCATGCCTCCCTCTCAGAGGTGGTGGTGAGCATTGGATTTGGTGACCACTCTCAACAGGACTTAGCACATGGTGAATGCCCAGTGAGTGTCACCTGTCACTATGAGCTTGCTCTGTCATATCAGCCTCTCTTCCATCTCTGACTCTCCTTGTTTCTGTCTCCCTGTGTACTGATTCCTATTGTGGCTGTAACAAATGACCCCAAACTGGATGGCTTAAAACAACACAAATTTAGGTCAAGGGTTCAGATCCCTGAACAGGCCAGCTGCAAACAAAGCAAAACAGAACAGAAATTTATTCTCTGAGTTCTGGAGGCAAAAAGTATGAAATCTAGGGATTGGCAGGACTGGTTCCTTCCGGGGATTCTGAGGGTGAAGCCATTCTTGGCCTGTCTCCTAGCTGCTGGTGGCTGTTGGCAATCGTTGACATTGTTTGGCTCCTGGCTTTCCTGCAGTCTCTGCCTCCGTCTTCACATGGCTTTTCCCTCTGTATCTATGTCTGAAATCTCCTCCTTTCTCTTATAAGGACACCAGTCATTGGACGTAGGGCCTAGCCTAAATCCAGGGTGATCTCATCTCACTTTAATTATATCTGCGAAGTCTCTATTTCCAAATAAGGTCACATTCAAAGGTACTGAGAGTGAGGACTTGAATATATCTTTTCGGGGGTGAGGAGCACAGTTTAACCCACTATACCTGGTTTCTGTCTTTTCCTAATTTCTCTCCATTCTTGTCTCTCTCTCCTTTCTCTTTGAGTCTCCCTCCCTGTGTCTCCTCCTGCCTCTTTCAGCTCTGTTACCACACTTTACCCTCACTCCCAGTCCCAACCTTTCTCTCCTTCCTCCCTCATGAACCAACACGGATTGGCTGAGAACCCTGGAAATTTGCCCAGAGACCTATGATGTCACCGGCTGAGCCAAATCAAGCCAATGATTGGAGGGAAGTTGGTCGGGGGGGTTGACCTGGAGGGGGCTGAAACTCTCTTTCTAACCTCCAGCCCTTTTCTCTCTGACCAGGGCTTGCACATACAGGCAAAATCGAAAACTCCTGCTGCAGTAGACTGGTGGCTTCAGCGTTTTTAAGGAGAAAGGAAAAGAAGTTTAATAAAATTTGTGACAATTTTTTCAATGCTTTTGTCAGTTTCCTGGGGACCCTCCCCCCAGTTGGCATCCAGCTCTGTTTCTCTACTCAACTGGGTGCTCCTCAAGGGCTGAGACCAGGTCTTACTCAACCGTAGACACCAATTATCCTAATTCAAGGTAGAAGTGTTTGGACCTTCAAAAGGGATGGACAACCTATTCTAAGGGTTTGTAGGGGCAACCTTTCCTCTTTGGGGAGGAGAGAATGTAACTAGACCATCAAGGATGTTTAAGAAGAGGAAAAGCAGTGATCAGTGTGGGGAGGACAGGTTTCCCTCTCTATCTGAACTCTAATTTTTTACCCTCTGTGTACCTGAATAGATTTGGATACATTTTCATGTAAATCTTTTGCTATCTGAACTCTCACTCCTCACTAACCCAAAGTAGGAACTGAGTAGAGGATAAAAGGGGATCCCTCTATTTCTAAACTTGCCAGCAGAACTATAGCTAATTCAGAATTTGGATAATGAGATATGTATGAGGGGATCGGTGGGGGGTGATGAGAAAAGCTGCATTTAGCTAAAGATTCAGTGCCTAGCACAATATCTGGCTCAGAGCAGTCACTCAGTAAATATTTGCTGAATAAATGAGGTGGTAGTGTTGGAGGAAAAGCCTAAAAAGACAGTTTTGATCCATATAGTGAAGGGCTTTAAATGCCAGGGAAAGGAGGTTGGTGGTTTCTCCCAGGATCTAGGATTGAAACCTCAAATCTGTGTGGGTCCAGATAGGTAAAGTTGATGTTAAAAATCTGCTTTGACCAGGTTAGCTAAATTATAGTGCCTTGGGAGATCTGGGATAAGCCAGCAGTCACGTCCACCTGTCCTGGAAAATATTATCATAAGACCATTTTACTTAGAAGCAGACATACTGGTGCCAGAAAGCCATAAAATCGCCTAATATACTTCTGGTAAACTTCACCCTAGATCACTACATGTATGATGTAACCTAGTAACAATCCCAAATGTATACGTCATGTACAACCAA